CCTGGTCCTTCACGGGGGTGACGGCGCCTGGGGACAGCGGGGTGGGGACATGTGGCCAACTGGGCTGCTGGCTGTCCCCACACGGACCCCAGTGTGCACAGCTCTGGTGTCACCAGCCCCCTCCTCACCATAGAGCCGCCAGTCGAGGCTCTCGGGCAGGGTGAGGCCGGTTGAGAGGTGGGTGGGGAAGGGCTGCCCGTTGTTGGGGTCCCCGCTGCGCCGGTGGCCCCGCAGGGCTGCCAGTTCCCGGGGCGTGCGGTCGGCCAGGTGGTTCAGGGCCAGCGTGTAGGAGAGCGCGGCGCGGTTCCGGGAGTGCACGAACCTGGGGCACGGCGGGAGGGGAGTGGGGAACCCCCTCCCTGATCCCCCCACCAGCACATCCCCTGGCATCCTGTGCTGCAGGGGTGTGAGAGGGGAGTGGGGACACCATCCTTGAGCCCCCTCAGCCCATCCTCGTGGCCTCCTGTAACTCATGTCTGTGAAAGGGGAGTGGGGGCCCCATCCCTGATCCCCCCCCAGCCCATGCCTTGTCATCCTATACCACCTGTCTGCCAAGAGGTGAGTGGAGATCCCATTCCTGACCCCCCAGCCTGTCCCCTGACATCCTGTGCCACATGTCTGTGAGAGGGGAGCGGGATACCCCATCCCTGAGCCTCCCCAGCCCCCCTGCCCTCCCGTACCTCATGTTGTGGATGAAGGTGTGCCTGCGGTGCTCGTGCTCCTCCTCACTGCCGTAGCTCTTCCCAAACTGCTCCTTGTAGCGGTGGAAGAGGCGGTGGTGGACGTGGTCTGTGTCCGGCCCCCTCCCCACAAACTCCTGCATGGGGTTGGCCACGAGGAGGTGCTCGGGGCTGCCCGTGGGCCACTGCTCACACTGCACCCCTGCCACGAGACGTGGGCGGTGCTGGTGCCTCCTGAGCTGGGATGGGCTCTCCTGGATCCCCAAAACCACCAGGGCTGCCCATCCCATCCAGACACATGTATGCAGGGGGGATCTGCATCCATACCTCCTTCCAGAGCCATCTCCTGAGCTCCCACCATCCCACTTGGCACCCTGAGTGAGCACCAGGGGAGCACCCACATCACCCCAGCTCTCGTTCTGCTTTTTTCCCAGGCGAACCAATTCACCAAAATTATCAGGCTCATGGAATCCTGGAATGGTTTGGACTGGAAGGGACCTTAAAGCCCATCTTGTTCCACCCCCCTGCCATGGGCAGGGACACCTTCCACTGGACCAGGTTGCTCCAAGCCCCATCTAACCTGGCCTTGGACACTTCCAGGGATGGAGCAGCCACAGCTTCTCTGGACAACCTGTGCCAGGGCCTCAGCACCCTCACAGGGAAGAATTTTTTCCTAATATCCAATCTAAACCCTTCCAAAAGCCCAAATTTAAGAGTGTTTAGGTGTCAGCACTGGCCGTGGGTGCCCAGGCACACTCACCCTTGGGGAGCTGGAAGACGCCGGGCGGGAAGCGATGGCTGAAGGAGGAATAGTCGATCTCGTACTTGTCATAGTGGGAGCCCAGGAGGCTGTTGAAGCCCCTCACCTCGTAGTGCAGGGGCACGGGGCCGTGGGCAGAGCTGCCCACCCGCAGCGTGTACACGTTCTTCTTGTGCCCCCAGTAGGAGACGTTCTGCCACACGGCACAGCGCTGCCCTCGGAACCGCTCCTCCCGCACGCGCTGGGGACACACGGCAGGGACCGGGGTGCCACCCCAGCGTGAGCTGGGGCACCCCACAGCGATGCCACCCCTACCCTGCATCCTACAGCGCCGAATGCAACCCCCCCAGTCCATCACCCACGGCCGCATCCAGCCGTGTGTTCACCAATTCCCACCTCATGGAGAGGTACCCACCAGACACCCCTTCCCCACGCAGTGCCCTCGTCCCTCCCTTTGCCTGCCCCATCCCACATCCTGGAGGGCCGTTCCCGGGCTCACCCTGAAGTTCTCCAGGCTGGGGAAGACGCTCTGGGGGGCGATGAGGGCCCCGATGGTGCCGTTGATGCGGAAGCACTTGCGGACGTTGAGCTCCGTCTCCGTGGTCTCCGGGGTCACCTTGAAGCTGGCGCCGAAGGGCTCCATGGAGCCAAACTGGTAGGTGACCACTTGGCCTGCGGGCAGGGAATGTCAAGCCTGGCATGGTGATGCCTCTCAGGGCTCTCCTGGTGTTGTCCCCAGAGGTGCTGGGGCAGAAGGAAGGGGATGCTGAGGGGTTGGGGGGGGTCAGACCCCCTTCTGCACCCACCACCGTAGTACTCGATACGGCTCTTCCCACCCGTGAGGTTGTACCAGGCTTCAAAAGGCTCCCTGATCTCTGCATAGGGCAGGCTGATGATTCCTGTGGGCACAGAGAGGAAGGACTCGGGGGCTTTGGGGGGGGCTGAGCCTCAGGGGCATCCCCTGTCCCCCTCCCCTGAGCCTCTGGAGCACCCCGGGGTCCCGCAGCATCACCCCATGGTCACCCCCAGCAGCACCCCATGGCCCAAGCACCCCAACTCCGGCATTCCTGGGGGAATTGGAGCCTCCTTGCTCAGGCATGTCAGGTGGGAGCTTGTGGCTGGAGGTGCAGGACCCCCTTGGGCCGGGCACCCTGTCCCTGAGCAGTACCTGTGACATGGTAGATGTCCCCAAATGTGGGTGTCTCCAGAGGACCTCTGCACTCTGCTCCTGCAAGAAAAACAGAAACAAACCCCAAACCCCCTGATTTCCCATCTCCCCACCGCAGGGGCTGGCAGCAGTGCTGGTCCTTTGCCTGCTGTCCCCCAGGAGAGGGGGACAGACCCAGGGGAGCCTGTGCTGGTGGCAAGGCAGGGCAGACACTGGGGGTCCCCAAGCTGGGGATCCCCGCTCCTCCACCCGCCCTCTGGCTGACTGAGAGTCCCCCCAGCACATCTCCAATCTCCCTGGGGGTGTGACCAGCTCAGGGGCACCCCAAAGCCCCCCCTGCACACCCCAAATATGCACCCCTATATGGAACACTGCCCACCGCCCCGCCACAGCTCCAGGAATAGGGACAGCGACAGAGCAGCCCCTTCCCAGGGCAAAGACCCTCAGCGGCTCAGGACCACCACAGTGCCCAGGGCGAGGGGCACGATGGCATCACCCCGGGATGGGGGCACAGCACCCACCCCCCCACCCCCAGCCCAGCCAGAGCGGGGGCTCACCCAGCAGCACAGCAGCCCCCAGCACCAGCAGCCCCCCCAGCCCCTCCATCCTGCCCACGCTGCTGCCCTGCACCCACGGGTGATTAAATACCACCGGTGGGTGGGCAGGGAGCTGCGGGCAGCCAACGGGCACAGCCCCCCCTTCACCCGGCTGGGATGAGACCAGGGGAAGGCGGGGCTTTGTCTTGCCCCCCTGCCCCACCACGGGCACTCCCCCATCCCTTCCCACCCACACCAGGGTGGGTGCTGATGCCGTGTGCTGGTGGGGCTTGGGGAGGGGGGGGTCAGGGTGGGACTCCGACCCCTGTGGGTGCCCCATGGATGGGGGGTTTGGGGATGGGTGCTGGGGGTGTCCCTGTGCCCCCAGTTTGACAGCCAGGATCCGCTGTGAGCAGGGGGAGCATCTGCAGCAACCGGGGGGCAACGGGGTGCAGTGACACCCACCCAGGCACCCCAGAGCCCCCCTGGGGTGGGACAGGAGCCAAGGTGACCCCACCAAAGGGGAGAGAGAAAGATGGGGAGGTGGGGGCTGTTTGCACCCCTGCATCCTTACGGATACACCATCAGGGCAAGGCCAGGGCTGCAAATAGAGGGGGTTTCATTGGAAAAAGGGGGGAAAAAATGCAGATGAAATGTCGGGAGCAACATGGCAAAGCAGCCCCGGGGAGGAGTGCGACGCTGTCACCACGGTAGAGTGGCCTTCACCCCTCCCACTTGCCGCGGGTCCAGCTGGCCCCCAGCCCAAGGTGACAACGAGCCCCAAACAAAGATGATAAGGGCTCATTGTGGGCTTGGCCGGGTCTTGTTGGGCTGGACTGGGCTGCACCCCGGGGTGCGGGGCTGGGCTGGTGCCCCCCGGGCTGCAGCACCTCCCCAGGGACCTGCGGAGGCTGTAAGTGCTGAAGGCAAAACAAGAGATGAAGCGCCTGAGGACTGACCCTGTGAATGACTGGCTGGGATGATGCATCCCAATCATTCCTGGACAGTGATGAACAGCTTTTGAAGTCGTGATACCAAGCCTGACTCAAGCAGGTCTTCCAAAATGTTATCCAAGTGCAAGTTATTGTTTTGGGGTTTTTTCCCCCCCCACGTTTTTGATTTTGTTTTTTAATTATCTAGTTTTTCTCTGGGAGGGATATTCAGGTTACATTGGAGAATATTCAGGATATTCAGGAGATACTCAGGTTATACTGGAGAAAAGCCTAGGAAATTTAATGATCTGGCCTGAAAAATCTGTGAAAAACCTGAAATCTATGAAAAGGCTGAAAAACCATCACAGCCCACCACTGCAGACGTGCATCCTGCCCCGAGGATGCACCAGCAAAGATGGGAGACCACCAGAGTGAGGGCAGGGAGAACTTCCCACCCTGTTTTAGTATCCTCATGCACTGATCCTGCTCTCCAGGATGGCTTGATCCCAAACTAGGAGCTCCCAGCCGAGCCATGGCCACAGGGTAAAGGGGGAGCAGCCCCAGGGGGTGAAGGGTGACTCTGGCAAACACCCCGGTGACGTCCCCACCCGCAGCCACAACAGGGACCGGGGCAGTGGGGCAGAGGGTGGATGCCTTCCCCCCTCCCCGACACCCCACGCCAGGAATTTCTCATCTCAGCAGAAATCCCTGGGGTTGTTTGTGCTCCACCTCAGAGACAGAGCTGGAAAAGCCGCTCCCCTCGCCCCGGGTGTCTGGGACGGGCTGTGAGAGCCAGCTGGCTCTGCCAGGCAGGTCCCCTCCCTGGGAGGCCCCTGGGGTCCCACAGGACCAAGAAAAACCAGCCTGGGGACAGGATGTGTCACTGGGGGCTGCACAGGGGGCACAGCTGGGTGGGCAGCAGTTGAATCCCCGCTGTAGAAGCCATCCAGTATTTTTCCAGTGTCTTTATTGGCAAGCCCACTGCTGGGTCCCCATCCTGCCCCGTGTCCAGCACCCCATGGCCCTGTCCTGCTTCCTGCTGAGTGGAGGCTCCACCGAAGGGGCTGATCCAGGGCTGGGTGCCCAGAGTGTCACCGAGGGCTGTCCCTACAGGGCCGGGGTGGCTCAGGCCAGGATGGGATAGGTGGCCTCGGTGGCCACGCCGCAGTTGTTGTCCTTCATGGCCATGAGGATGTAGCCGTCGTTGCCCCAGTAGGTGGACCAGGAGTTCTTGATGAGCCAGTAGGTCTCTCCCTGCAGGACCCCGTAGCCCACGGCCAGCACTGCGTGGTCCAGCGACCCTGGTGTGTTGTCTGCAGGGAATGACGTGGGAGAGGGTTCATTTGAATGGTATTCCTGTTCAGAGAGCATCACTGTGTGGAGAGCATCCTTGACCTAAGTGTATCCCTGCCCAGTTATCATCCCTATCTAGAGAGCATCCCTGACCGAAGAGCATCCCTGTCTGGAGAACATCCCTGTACAGTGATTATCCTTGTCGGAGAGCATCCTTATCCAGTGAGCATCCCTGTTTGGAGACCACCTGTATCCAGAGAACATCCCTATCCAGAGAGCACCCCAGACCTAAGAGCATCCCTGTCCAGAGATCGTTACTGTCTGGTGACCATCCCTTTCTAGTGAGCATTCCTGTCTGAAGGAATCCATCCCTGTGTGGAGAGGATCCCTGTCTGGAGAGCATCCCTGTATGGACAGTATCCTTACCCCTAGAGAGAGATCCTGAGAGCATCCTGAGAGCACCCCTGACCTTAGAGCATCCCTGTCCAGAGACCATTCCTGCCTGGTGACCATCCCTGTCTGGAGAGGATCCCTGTCCAGCGAACATCCCAACCTGGAGAGCATCCCTGCTCCAGGGCTGCCCACAGTGCTGCAGAGCACCGCAGGGCCGGTCCCCTCCACCCTTCCCTGGGCCGCCAGGATGGGAACTGAGTGTCCTGGCAATTCCCTGGGCACCCAGGTCCTGCCGTGCCCCGTGTGCCGCCCGACTCACCGCACTTGGGCTCGTAGTAGATGCCGTTGGAGTAGAAGGAGAAGCTCTTGTGGGAGGCGTCGATGCTCACGGCCACGGGGCCGTGCTTGTAGATGGCGGCTTTGACAGCCGTGGTGTTGCCCGAGGTGACGTTGACGTAGCCCGTGATCTTGGCCAGCATCTCCGACTGGTTGTAGTGGCACAAACCGTTCTACGCACCCAGGGGACACACACACACTGTCAGCAGCACGCCCTGGTCCCCCTCCCTGCGCCCACCCTGCCTGCTCCCCGTGGAGCTCTTCCCAGCGATCCGGGGTTTGGGCTGTGGCAGCGTTCCCGCTGTCCTCCCAAGCCCAGGGTGGTGGGGATGTTTTCCCAGTTGCACAGGGAGCTGGCTCTGCACCCCAAGCCCTGGGGGGGGCTGTTGCCTGTGTCTTGCAGCCACGTCCCTGTCCCCAGGCAGCTTTGCTCCATCCCTGCTCCCCAGGGTACGGAGTGACCCACAGCACCACCCATGGGTGGAGGAGCCTTGTCCCTGTTTTGCAAGAAGAGAAACTGAGGCACACAGTGATGAAACTGTCCAGCCGAGCCCTGGGGCTTGGCTTTGGGCTGTGCTTTGAACCACAGGAGCCTGCTGCCTTGGGGACAAAGTGACATCCACACCTCCAGAGCCTGCTAGTGCCTTTGACCCATCGAGGGGGGTCCCACCATGGCTTTAAGCCCCAAGACATTGGGGACCCTGTCAGGGACATGGAGCCACCCCTACCTGTCCCTTGTAGGTGCCGTAGGACTCGGTGCTGGCGATGCCACCGTGTTTCTTGATCCACTC